GCCGGTGCGGGTGGAGCAGGTAGTCAACGGCGCGCTGGTGGTCACCGTGAGCTTTGGCGAACGCAGCTTCGCCGGAATCCTTCTGGACTGCACGAAAAAGTGAGCGGGGCGTGGGGGCGCAGGCCCCGGGACACCCTCTTTCAGGAATCCCCGCGGACACTACCCCCCGACGGCTGAGGGGCTAAGACCCAGCTCCTGGGCGGGGCAGCGCGGCCCCAGTAGCCGCTTTCGGTTTCCACCGAGCCTGGGTTTTGGGGCACGCGAGCGCGGCGGTCACTGGGGGGGCGAAAGTGGCTATCAAAGTCGTCTCGACTTTTGGGGCGGAAGAACGGGTGACTGGGCAGAGAGGGGCTGCGGGCTCGGGGCGAGAACTGGGCTGGGTGCGTGGAGCTAAGAGTTCCCGCGCCCCCGCGCCAGGCAGCAGCGTGTCTCCGCGTGTCGCCCAGCTCCCCAACTCCGCACATCTTCCATAATTAACGCACTTTTCTTTGTTTAGACGCACTGTTGAACTGCTTGTTTGCAGAAGTATCCTCTATTAAAGGGGGGTGAAGCTGGGGAGACCGATGCGTGATGGCCTTTCCCTGTCAGTCACGAGTGGAGGTGTCTAATGTCTGATGTCTAATGTCATGGGTCTCCCCTGCCCCAGGATTGCAGGAGTGATTCGAGGGCTGAGGTTTCCATTTGTGGCAAGCAGTTGTACTCAGCTGTGGGATTTCAAAACACTGTTTCAGGTCAAGGAGCCCTGCCATGGCCATGAAGGAGTGAAAAGATAAAAGTTATGGGAGCCATGGGTGCATCCCATGGGAGAACCCTGGTTTCCCTGGTGGAGGGGCGCAGGGCAGGGCTGGGACAAATCCATCCTGAGAAGCACCTGTGCACCCTGCTGCAGGGACTCATGCAGTACAGATGAGCCTCCTGGATACAGTGTCACATGGTAGTGAGCTGTCGCTGCCAGATAAATGATTAGGCATTAATCAGGCTGTAATGTCTCTGTGCTCTTGCTGGGCTTTATTTTGAATCTGGGAGCAAAAAATGGTTTCCCTTTCAAAGGCCCAACTTTTTCCTTCATTGAACCCCAGATTTTTCCCCGAGTGCCGTGAATGTAGCAGGGAGGACCATCCTTCTTCGACAATTATCCTGCTGACATGATCTCTTCATTAGATGTGCCAGAAGCCATTTATGCACAAGTCATGTGATTTAACATATGGCCTCCGGTGTGACTGTGGCCCTGTTCTGTGTTGGCTACCACTGGGAGTGTTCGGTGGGATGGAGGGACACTCAGGGACTGCAGAATAGACACCTGAGAGCTGCTGAGCCAGGAAACCTGGGTGGCTGCAATCCCCCGCCCACTGACAGCCTCTGCTTCCTCCTCAGGCAGGGTTGGGCTGGGTGCCGGGTCTGCAGGGCTGCTCGCCTGTTCTACCTGCACAGCCTTGCCTGGCCTTTCCTCCCTTCTGGATTTGCAACAGAGGTTTCTGTATTTCCTGGGCTTTCTGATTCAGGACAAGGGAAGCCGAGGCCACCCTGGACTTGTGGCTGGGGATGTCTACATGTCTGCAGAGGCAGTGGGCTCCCTTCCCCATGGCCCGTGGCTAACCTGGCTTGCAGGTCTACAGCACCCCTGCCCCCCTTCTTGGAAAGAAGCAGGCCCACTGGGATCCCCAGCATGGGAACTGGCAGCTGTAGGATGTGTGGGCGTCAACCCTGCCATGGCCACGTTCGGTTGTAACCAGAGCTGCTCACAAAGCCAGTAGCTGGGCCTCGGTGGGTGCAGTTCTGTTCAACAGCCTCTCTCTGACTTTGGTTGACACTCCCGCCCCTGCCCCATGTCCTTGGGGAGAATCTGAAGATAAATGTGACTTCTTTTTGCCCCTTTCCAACCCAAGCCTTGTCATGAATGGCCCCTGCTTCTGCCCACCCTGTCTTTCCTTGGCTTGTCACCCCTGCTTTCAATTCTCTACCCATAATATTATGAGTCCCAATGCTAAGTAATGTTTTTAACAGCCCTGTTTGTCAGGCAGTATCCCCCAGGCCGCTTACAAACTGACATGGATGTTTGGGGTAGCAGGAGTCTGGCTGGTGATATCCAGATACCAACCTGCCTCCCTCCAAGGTGCCAATTCCTCCTCGGTATCTGGTGCCTGCCTCGTCCCCTGGCTTGTGGCAGTATAGGCCCAGTCTTCAGGTGTAGATACTGTCAGGGAAGAAATGCTGAGAGCTGTGAGTATATGCAGCCACCCACCTCAGAGGAACCTGCTGGTCCCAGAGCAGCAGATATAGGTGCTGGGTCTGTTTGGGGCAGAAGGTCACCGCTGCTGTTGTACCGATGATGTCTATAACAGTATGAGCAGCTTTCACAGTGTGAATGCAGACCTGGTGGCATGGATTACTCTGTGCATAACTAATCACTGTGCCATGCATGTCCCCATGGATGGATCAGAACAGTGACCTGGGAGCAGGGTTCCTGGGTTCCTAGGTAGAAGAACTGAGGCCTAGTAATCAGTGTTTATCAATAGGACAGTTTTGGAAATGGAATCCAAGCCCTGAGTTCTTTTCTGTGTGCAGAGGAGAGAGAAGCTCTGAGAGAACTGGGCCCAGGACTTGGCAGGTGAATGGAGTTACCTAGCCCCAGTGCCATCTGAGCCTCAAACCTGCAGCCAGGCTGCTGTGTGACCCAAAGCAGGATTCTCAGCTGCTCTGAGTGTCTGCTCGCTCATATATTCATTCATGTTCATTGAGCACCTACTGTGTGCTAAGAATTGGGCTAAGCAGAGTGGGCAAACTGACTCCAGCAATCCTTCCTGCATCTCAGCAATTGCTAGGATTCCTTCCAAAGCATTTATGACCCAAGCCTTGGCCTGACATGCTGTTTAGTGTGGGCATTGTTTTGTGGGTGATTTAGGGACATACCTCTGATTGAGGACCTCAGATGATGTGGCCCTGAGTAAGAGGGGGCCTAGGACAGCAGAGGCTCAGAGTAGTGAAGGGCTAGTCTCATGGACAGTGGATGCAAAGGCCATTGCCAGCCAGGCCAGGCTTGACCTCTAAGCTAGTGTTTCTCAAACTTCCCCATTTGTCCCCCATGGTATTATTGCTACATAAACTCCTGGGTCTGTGTGCTGGAAAGGTCAGAGTGCAGCCTCTGTAACCCACATCACAGCTGGCCAAGACTCCCAGTCTGCAGAAGAGCTCCCTGTGCTCCATCCTGGGCATATCCCTGTCCAGGATGGAGGCTCAGCAGCTGGTGGCTGCGCCTGGGTGGATTCCCTCAGCCACTGAAGACACATGCTGGGCACAAGGGCTACAGTGGTAACAAGATGTCCTTCCTGCCCTCAGGGACCTAGAGGGACTGACGTGTTCAGTATGTCACAGGCTGGTGCACCAGGAACCCTAGCTAGCGTGGCGGGCCTTGAGAACTTCTTTAAAGAGGTAGCATCCAAGTGAGTGGGCAAGGAAAGTCATAGGGAATTAGAGGTGAGTGGTCTTTTGCTGCTGGGGAAGACTCAGAGTGCTTAGAGAAGGGCAATGCCATTGGATAATCAATCTTTGATTCAAGCATACTGGAGGCCAGTCCCGCTTGCTCTGCCCTGAAGATCCTGGGTCAGTGCCATGGGTGTGGGGCAGGCTCCCATTGTAAGGCCCTGGAGGAGGGAGCACTCTGGTGTCTAGGTTGTGGCTTCTGCCAACCTACTTTAACTCCCTGAGCAGAGGTGGCCCTGGAAAGGCTCCCTACACCCAGTAGCCCTTGCCAGTACTCCCTCTTTCCTGTATGGCCTTTCTGCTCCTGACTGCTGAGCTATGGGAAAGGCTTCAATACTTTTACAGCCAACACCTCAGTAGGCAGCCCCAGCAGGGCCTTGAGTGTTTGGACACAGGCTGTCCTGGGGCTGCAGGCTCCTGCCAACACAGGAGCTATATGGAGAGGTTTCTGCAGGCTCCAGCAGTTTCTGCTCCAGGAGCCATGTTTTCCTTGCCTAAGTAGGCAACAGCAGGATGTCCTTTCCCCATCAGAAAATGGGAGAAGAAAAGTCTAGGGCACATGTGGACCCAGGCGGGAGACAGGAGGCTGCCCTTCAGGCACAAGCAGCCTCACAGGTCCTAGGTCTGCAGAACCAAAGTCAGATGGAGGCGGCTGCAGGCAGTGCAGTGGGAGCTCTGGCAGCTGGCCAACCCTGTGCTCCTTCTGGCTGTGGGCCGGCCTCAGCCCCACATGACGGGGCTGCTGTGGGTGGTTGGCTAGGCCAGACTTCACCATGTGGGTGAGTTGAGGCTCGCCTGAGAGATCTCACTGAGGGCCTCCAGCCAGGCCTCTGGATCCTTGCTAAGATGCTATGCTATTACTTGGTCAGGAGGTTGTAGTGGGCATTGGTGTTCATAGGGGTCCTGACTTCCCATCCTCTTAGAGGCAGCACTAATTTCTGCTATGTGACCTGGCCCTCCATTTGAGCCTCCTAGTTTCTTATCCCTGCCTGAATTTCCCAGCTTTTCCTCAAAGCAAAATTTATTTGCCCCTGAGGTCCCCCAAGGATGCTATTTTGAGGTCTGTTTGGGATCCTTTGAGTCTGGTTCTTGACGTTGAGGCTAGGGTGGCCCCAGCTCCCACACTGGTAAGTCATCCCCAGAGCCCCTCCCCATTTGCCTTCTCTCCACCATGAGTAGGGCCAGCCCCCAAGGCTACACCTTCCTGGTCAGTCCTGTGAGTCCAGCATAACCCTGGCAGGCTCATTATGGCTTCAGGGCCACTTAGCCCTCCTATCTGCCAAGGCTCATGAGGCATTGCCGCGTCAGTAGGCTCTGTCTCCAGGGGCCAATTTGGGCCAAGGCCTGGCCTTACTCAGAGAGCCATGCTTATGGAGCTGTGAGGTGCAGTGCTCTGTTTCCAAAAGAGTCACCCCTCAGTGCCCAGAGGCAGCAGATTTATCACTGGGTTGCTTAGCTTAGGGCACATTCCCTGGCTCACTTAGCCTCACTGTCCTCTGTAAAGTGGGAGTGGCAGTGACCTGTCTCTTGTGGGGTTGTGAAATGGGTTGAGAGATCTAGCAGCCCAGCAGCCTGAGCCCTGCTATAACTTTGTAAGAGGCTCAGGGACTGAGTGCCCCCTCCCACCCTGGTTAGTGAGCTGTTCCTGGCTGTTTACCCACCAGACGAGTCATGGGTGTGGCCTGGGCAGGGCGGCAGCTCCAGGAAGGAAGTATGGCTGCCTGCCATGCCAGGGTCACGGACCATTTCTGCAGGGCCAGCTTCTCTGGTCCCTGGTCACTGGTGCTGCAGGGCTGGTGTCACTGAGGTTCAGGAAGGGGATGGTGGGAAGCCCAGACTTCTAACCACTGTGGTCTGCCTGGAAAGGGACCAGATCCTGGCCTATACTTGGTGGGACTCATCAGGCCTGACCCACACAGGGTCTGATGGCTTTAGGCTCTGGCTCAGGTCAGGGCCTGGGTCTCCAGCTGAGGGCTGTGTGTCCATCCTAAACATGCATAGACCACCTGAGCAGTATGTGTCATAAGCAGGGGACAAAAACCTCCCTGGAGCACGTGCAGCTGCAGGACCTACCTAGGATGGAGTGACACCACCCACTGTCCCACCTGCTCCAGCCTGCAGTACAGAGAGAAAGTGAGGGGTCTGCAGAACCCCCCCACCCCAGTATGGATGGGCTGAGGGTGGTCTATGGGAGGGGTTCTATAGGAGGACTTAGCCCACTGGAGGGAAGACAGAGCCATACTCCTGAGAGACAGGTCGGAGTTTGGGAGGGTCAGAAAGGGGCTGCTCTGAGGGTCCCTGGATCCCAGTTGGTGGGAGGGGCTCTGTGGGGTCATTGGCTGGGGTACAGGAAGCAGGTGGGGAGGTGGAGCCCAAGTCAGGTGTGAACTGGAGCCTAGGTGCAGATGGTGGGGAGGTGTCGGACAAAACTCCCAGCTTATGGCTGGGGTACCTGCAAAAGGTGGGCTACTGGGAGGTAGGAGGCCTTCAGAACAACCCTCCCAGTCCCTGGTCTGTGGATGTTCCTCTGAGACTCAACTGCCTTTAGGGTTTCCTCTCTTGTCCTGATGCCTTTATCTCTGCCCTTGCCTAGTGTGGCTAGGGTGCCATGTTCCCCACTCTAGCAAGGGGTCTGCCCAGTGGCAGTCCAGAAAGGCTGTCCAATTTGCCTAGGTGACTTTCTGGCTCAGATGCTCCCACCAGGCCACAGTAGGTTGAGCCCGCCTGAACATCCCAGCCCCTGCGGTTTTTGGGCTCCCTCTGTTCCTAGATGTTATCCTCTGGCAGGACACTGCTGCTTCCTGGGGCCGGAGAGCCTCCTGGCTTCCTTTTTCTTCTTGTCACTATCCCTCTTATTTGAGAGAGACACAGAAAGTGAGAAACCTCCCCCTTCAGGGATGGCCCTGCTGCAATCCCTTCTCCATCCAGTCCCTGGTCTGTGGATGTTCCTCTGAGACTCAACTGCCTTTAGGGTTTCCTCTCTTGTCCTGATGCCTTTACCTCTGCCCTTGCCTAGTGTGGCTAGGGTGCCATGTTCCCCACTCTAGCAAGGGGTCTGCCCAGTGGCAGTCCAGAAAGGCTGTCCAATTTGCCTAGGTGACTTTCTGGCTCAGATGCTCCCACCAGGCCACAGTAGGTTGAGCCCGCCTGAACATCCCAGCCCCTGCGGTTTTTGGGCTCCCTCTGTTCCTAGATGTTATCCTCTGGCAGGACACTGCTGCTTCCTGGGGCCGGAGAGCCTCCTGGCTTCCTTTTTCTTCTTGTCACTATCCCTCTTATTTGAGAGAGACACAGAAAGTGAGAAACCTCCCCCTTCAGGGATGGCCCTGCTGCAATCCCTTCTCCATTCTCCTCTCAGGATTTGGGGCATGCACATACTCACAGCCAGTGTGTTTTGTCAAGCTGGATGCAGACCACAGAATCATCCATGGGGGATTTAGTGCCTTAACTATTGCTGGCTCTACATGTGTACTTTTGAAATGTGTGAAATAATTGGACTTATATTTCATTATACAAAATAATGTCAGTGTTTTCCATAATTGTTGTTCTGGTGAGCTGAGAGTAGGCTATTGAATTAGATGTAACTTCATGACATTCCTGCATTTAGCCTCGCAAATGATGCAGCATTCAGGCATGTGGTAGGGAGTGGAGTGATCCTCCACTCTTTTGGGTCGTTGGAAAAGGCATGACACATTTTTTCTGTGTTTTTATATTGCAAAAATGCATCATGACTTTTCTGATGACCCAGGAGAATGCCACACCCCCAAAGTCATGCACGGTGCTGCAAACTGCCTATTTAATGGAGGCTGCCTGGTTGAGCACTTCCCTGGGGAGAAAGAGGGCCTTCAGCTGGGCCAGCTGTGACAGCGGGGGTGTGGCTTTACTATTTGGTCCCCTGGGAGGTGGGTGCTCCTGTTTTCTCATGCCTCCTGTCACATTGTGGCCTTGTTGGTCCTAGCCCCTACCAGAGGAGGAGTCTGACTTTGCACCCAGTGCCTGGAGCTGCAAGTCCTGAGGGGAGGGACCTGGGGGGTGCAGGGAGGGAGGAACAGCCATCCAGGTACTGAAGGGCAGGGTGGTGTGGATGACTGACTCACTGAGGGGAGCTGAAACAGCTGGGGCCAGCTGTGGGACTGGGCATTTGCAGGTAGCCAAGGAGACTCTGGCTTGGTTTCTGGCCTCTGCCCTTTTTGGGTCTGGCCATGTATGGCCCCCATTCCCAGCATTTAAGGATGTATCAGGTATCTGGGGCACTGGTCCTACAGGCCATCCTGAGCCCTTTGGGGTCAGGGAATTCCCCTAAATGACAGTCTTGGGGACTCAGAAGATTTTCCTGGTGCCCCATTATGGGAGTTTTCTCTGAGTCCCCCAACTCCTCTGGGCCCATGAGCAGGGGACCTGGTTTGGGGGCCAGGTCCATTGGTGACAGAGCAGATGGACCATCCCATTTACCCCAGGCCAGGTCAGGCCATCTGAACCATAGAAGCTCAGGCTTCCTAGGAGCTCTCTAGTGGCAGCCTGCACTCCTCTTTGTGATCATGGTCTGAGATTTGGATACCCTGTTACACAGGAGAAGTGGCTGCTTCATGGCCATGTACTACGTGACATTGTAAAGAGCTTGACTGACCTGGGATGCCAAACACAGGACACCCATGGGAGTGTTTGCATTTGTTTAAAATACAGAAATGCTACCCTAGACCATGCCATGCCAGCCACCCAGACCTGCTGGAGAATGGGGGCTAGGGACTTGGGAGCCAGGCAGCAGGGAGGTGGTGTGTGACTTGAGTCCGACCTGGGATGCCAAACACAGGACACCCATGGGAGTGTTTGCATTTGTTTAAAATACAGAAATGCTACCCTAGACCATGCCATGCCAGCCACCCAGACCTGCTGGAGAATGGGGGCTAGGGACTTGGCACCTGGGAGCCAGGCAGCAGGGAGGTGGTGTGTGGCTTGAGTCCTTACCATCCTCACTCTCTGTTTCTGTCTCCTCACTACCAGGTCTGGCCTTTTTGGCCTGCCTCCGTCAGCTCCGCTGCCCCAGGCTGATGACCCCCCTGCCAACAGCTGCCATGGCCAGGCCCCTGAGCAGGGAGATGGGGAGTCAATGCAGCTGGGGACAGCCTCCCCGCCTCCTCCCCACGCAGACCAGCCCCCGGAGACCACTGGCCCCGAGCCACCCCCACCCCTCGTGCCACCACTGCCTGCTGGGAGTCTGCCTCCATACCCTCCATACTTTGAAGGCGCCCCCTTCCCTCACCCACTCTGGCTGAGAAGCACATATAAGCAGTGGGTGCCACAGCCACCCCCCAGGACCATCAAGCGGACCCGGCGGCGTTTGTCCCGCAACCGTGACCCAGGCCGGCTTATCCTGAGCACCATCCGCCTACGGCCGCGTCAAGTGCTCTGTGAGAAGTGCAAGAGCACCCTGAGCCCCCAGGAGGCCAGCCCTGGCCCCCCAACCACCTCCAGGGCCCGCCGGAGATTGAGCAGTGGCCCAGAGAGAGAGCACCAGAAGCCCGAGGAGCCAGAGGACGGTGATCCCACGGCTATGGCCACAGTTCCCACGAGGCGGAGCAAGAGAGAGAGGCGGGAGGAGGACAGAGCCCCTGTGGAGCAGGTTCCACGGAGCCCTGTCATTAAGATCTCCTATAGCACACCCCAGGGCAAGGGCGAGGTGGTCAAGATCCCTTCCCGAGTGCACGGATCTCTGGAGCCCTTCTGCCCCCAGCAGGCTCTGCAAAATGGAAACCAGGACGCTGCAGCGCTACGGGACTCTGAACCCAGGGGTGGTGGAGACAGGCCTCCTGGAGGGCCCTTGGCCACCATCCCCAAGCTGAAGCTCACACGGCCTGTTCCTCCCAGCTCAGACCTGCCACCTCCCAAGATCCGCCTGAAGCCCCACCGCCTGGGAGATGGCGAGCGTGAGCCCGTGTACCGGGCTGAGCTGGTAGAACAGCTGAATGGCTGTAGGCAAGGCCACCAGGCTGGCTCACCGGCTCTCTTTGCGGATGGCCCTGCCCAGGGGTTGGCAGACTTGTCTTCTGGAAGTTCTGGTGAGGACGATGACTTCAAGAGGTGTCCCCAAGGTAAACAGGGACGTGATGACTTGGCTTTTCTTGTCAACTGCCCTAAGAGGAGAGCAGATTGTGCCAGTGAGTCAGTGTGCAGCAGCGACAGCCTGGATGAATCCAAATCATCTAGCTCAGAAGTCACGTCACCAGACACGGGTGACCTCTCATCCGGCGATGGTGCTTCTGTGCCTTCCTCTTCTGGAGATGCTCACCAGACGGTTCCGCCCCTAACGGTCAGGCTGCATACACAGAGCGTCTCTAAATGTGTTACCGAAGACGGAAGGACAGTGGCTGTAGGGGACATCGTATGGGGTAAGATTCATGGTTTTCCTTGGTGGCCAGCCCGTGTCCTTGACATCAGCCTTGGCCAGAAGGAGGACGGAGAGCCCTCTTGGCAAGAAGCGAAAGTCTCGTGGTTTGGTTCTCCAACTACATCATTCTTGTCTATTTCAAAACTCTCCCCTTTCTCTGAATTTTTCAAACTGAGATTTAACCGTAAGAAGAAGGGGATGTATCGGAAAGCTATAACCGAGGCTGCAAATGCTGCGCGACATGTGGCCCCAGAAATAAGGGAGCTCTTAACCCAGTTTGAGACGTAACGTTGGTTCGCTAACTAGGTGAGTGTGTGCCAGCTGGTCAGCTTCCTTCCCAAGCTGTCCTGAGCTGTGTCCCAGGCAAGGCTGTCCGCTTGTTCTGGCCCTGAGGCCCTGGGGCCATTGGGTAGCTGGGGGAGCCAGGCCAAGCCAGGCGTTACCCTCAGCTCCTTCGCACACAGGTTTCTAGCCATCTGGTCCACAGCTGTGAAGGAGCCATCTGGAAAATGGTTGTCCTCACTGGTAATACCATCCAAGCTTCGTAGTTTACAGGAGAGGCGCGTTAAAAGTAGGCCAGTTGTCATCAGCCACTTGTTCAAAGCACAACGCTAGTTTGTGTCTTGCAGCCCTTTTTTATCAGAAGTGCTGTAAGAGATTTTCTTGCTCACTTATTAGCCTTCTGGAGAAGGGGATGTAGTTTGTTCCTGGGGAGGAGAGAGGCCAGAGTGGGGCTTTGTCTCTGTTACTTACTCTGAAGGAACAAACCTTCGCCTCTCTTCCCCAAGATTGGAATGGTCTCTCTCTGCCTTCTGCTCACAGGTACACTGTCCCAGGGTCTTGGGCTGGCAGAAGGGAGAGCGAACAAGGTGAGCTTTGTCTGCTCGGATGAGGCTTCTACATTCTCAGTCCCTCGGGCCGGCCTTTATTCCTCAGCCTTTACCCCTCTTGATTCCTCTTCCTGGTGCTAGTGGGCTCTCCACTGTCAGTGCACATGGTGTTGCTGGGCCACTACCCATGGTGGCCATGTGCTCTAGGTACTGGGACGTGGCTCTGCAGCCTGTTCCTAGGGTGGTGTTTTGCACTCCCCATGGGTGCAGAGATTTGGGGGCTGGATACTGTACATAGTAGACCAGAGTCTGTCCACTCCCACCACAGTGGGGCCTCAGCCTTGGTCTTGGTGACCTCCACTGACCTTATCAGCCCAGCATACTTCCTTACTCCATCTCTCTGATGTCACAGTTTCCCAGGTGACATTCCTTCAGGCCTTAGCGGAGCTGACTAATATTTGATTTGGTAGGGTCTGGGGCACCCTGCATGCCCCTTCACTGCTATGCCATGTGTTTTGGGGACCTAGAAGAGGCCAAGGTCCCCAGGCTCTGACCTGGCCTCGTCTACCTGACCAACAACAGAGTGCATCTGCCTTGCTCCCAGGAGTCCAGACAGAAACCTCTCTTCTCAGCCAGCCAGGCCCACTTCTGTCAGTTCTGGAACTTCTGTGTGGGAGCGCGGCAGGTGCCAAACAGGCGTGTTCGGGCATGGAGTTGGGAGTTGGCCTCCCTGCTCACATTTGAGGGGCAAGTGTCTGGAGTGAGGAGCCCCTGGGGAGGAGAACAAGGTCTGAGAGACAAGGAAGGAGGGGAGGGTTAGTTAAGAGAAAGTCAGATTTCTTGTGGTGGCTTCCCAGGATGTCTCCCTCCTATGGCCTGGCTTGGCAAGTTCCCCAGGTTGCAGCCATGTCTTGCTGGACTTGAGGCCCCTCCTCCGGGGGTCTGTCTAGTCTGGCACCTTTGACCTCTTTCTGATCATTTCCTTTCCTGCCCTAGCCCCTGGGCTCACATTGGGTCCTTGTTCCTGGCCTGGTCTAGAGGCTGACGTGGAGGACTATGGACCCCCTCCCATAGGTTCCTCTCATGAGTCCCTTCACCCCATAATCTTGGCAAGGGTTGCTCCTCACACCATGACCTTCAGTTCCTGATTATGGTGGCTCTGGGGACATAGACAGTTGCCACACAGAATCAGCTCAAATGAAACTGGTGTGCTCTGGGAAGGTCCCATGGAGGCCTTGGCTGGCAGGGAGCCCCTAGCTGGGAGAATGCAGCCTTGGAGATTCAGGGCTGGCTTTGTTTATCTGGAAGCAGAGAAAAAATCTCACCCAACGGGTTTGCCTGCCGCATTTGCCTGCACTGGGGCCTGTGCCTACAAACAGGCCACTCACTTCTCCTCTTGGGGCTATGCCAGCCTGGCCACGTAGTGGGACTCTGGGGAGGGAAGTGCTGAATCTTTTCAGCACCCAAGTGCAAGTGGCATTTGCCTGACTAGCTTTTGTGTAAATTTTGTTTTCAAAGAACTAAAGACTGAGCTAAGGTCCATACCAACCAGTGCTAGACGTAGAAAGAGCTGTGTTATTGGGCCTGGAGTCTTACTCTCTGTGGGGCTGGCGGTCTCTGGATAGACAAGTTTGCTTTGAAGCATCAGCAGTGCTGTTTGGGGCTAGTCCCTCTTGCCTGCTCCCTGGAGGGGAAACTGAGGGACCTGTATTTGTGAGGCGAGGGGGGGGGGCTGACCTACCCATTCAGGAAGGTGTGCTTCCTGAGCAGAGGCTATGAAGATGCCAGTGGGGGAACCCCGTGGCAGTGCATGAGTGAAGGGCATGTTTGCTGGCACCAGGTCACCTCCTGGAAGGAAGAGGCTGGTTGATGTGTGGGCCTGGAGCTCAGGCAGAAGGCCCAGTCTCCACTCACTGGCTGTCCCAGAGCCCGAGGATGGCTGTGGTGCCAATCTCCTCAAAGTCTGAGAGTATCTGCTGCCCAAGGCACGTGACAGAAGCCATCATAGCAGGCTCAGCAGGACTGCTCCCTTCCAGAGGTGTGAGATCTGCATCTCTTCCCTGAGATGCCCCACCCTGTGAGAGCTGGGCTTGGTGTGGGCATCTGCAGACCATGAAGCTCTGGGCTGAGCTGGGGCCTGATGGTCAGGGTATGGGTGAGAGTCAGTGGCCTAGCTGGACTTGAGTGATAGGCACATTGGCCCTCAGCAGGGACTGCCCCCTAGGACATGGCGTCCACCTGTGCGTGGACTCAGGTGCTCCCCTGAGTGAGGTCCTGACCCAGGAATGCAGAGGGGCTGGCCCCGAGGTGCAAATATAAAGGCAATTTGTCCTTGTCCCAGCTGGTCACTTACTGCTGTGACCTCAGCAAGCTGCCATCTCTGGACCTCAGTTTCCTTATCTGTCAGGGAGTGACAATGGCACCTGCCTTACGGTAAGTGACACCCAAGTGGAGCGCTCAGCTGTGCCATGGGTACTCATGTATGGCTGGCTCCAGGGCTTGTGAATGACAAGGCAGCCACCTTTGGAGGTAACCATTGCACCCTCTCTGGCTCAGCGGAAGAGGCTATTTACTGGGGATTCCAGGAGGACTTGGCCAGGGGATGTGTGTGAGCATCAGTCTGCATTCCAGGGGTGGGAGTGGGGATAGGCTGTCAGGAGTTACTGTGCCAGGAAGCAGGCCTCACTCCGACAACCCCAGATGCAGTGTGGGTTGCACTCCTGGTTAGATGGGGCAGGCACCCACCTCCTACTACTCAGGGACCCTGCTGCACAGA